CTGAGAAGAGTTGTACAGTGAAACAAAGTACTGTTATTTCTGAGGGTGTGGAAAGTATTCTTGACCTATTAGACTGTTATGTGCCTAATGCTGAGGAAATAATAGTATTAATGTGCCCAAACTGGTTGTCTTGGTGATACAGAGAATATTAGAATTTGCATCCAAGACAGACATGAGTTTTCTGATAGGTGAACAGAAAGACAATCTTCTGACAGTGTTACTTCTTACTGTTGTCTATTTCTGTGTTCCCCAGTAAAATGTGATTTCTGAAGTAACCAAGCATTTATCAATCAGCCTTTTGGCTGACCTGGCCAAAAGGGCTTGTTCTGTTTTACCAGCTTTTCGAGTTTCATCTCTTCTTTATTATTTCTTTATTTGTCAGTGTACCCAGGATCCTTGATTTCTGGACAGTTGGAGCAGTGTTTGGAGTGTGAAAGGAAAGCTTGATTTCTAATAATTTAAAGCAGACTGCTCAGTCTCTAGGCAGGTCAGAGATGGACTGTATTAGTCTGTCCTCCCCTATCAAAGAAAAGGAAGGAGGTAACAGGGTCATCCAGCCAGAAAGCTTGATTATTGCTGATTTAAGGTGCTGTAATATTCATATTCCCTATCTTAGTAACACCTTTTGAAGGAAGTTGTGGTCAGCAGAGAGAAAAATGACATAAATGTGTCATATCTAGCTTCATACTATATGGATTTCTTTAATCTGTGATTCAAATGTATAAAGAAACACCAATGGCTAAAAATATTTGCCTACTACTGAGACTATGCCTTTAGAGTGTGCAAATAAGAAGGAAGACACACTCGCAGTACAATAATTATAAATTTTTTTAACAAGTTGTAAGTGCAAACTAGAATATGAAAATCGAAACTACTAACTGATGTGCACAGAATATTTTTTTCTGGATGATCTTGTGCTATTTTTAATAGTGGTTTGAAAAAGGAAGGCTTTAAAAATTGTACATGTTTGAAAGAAGTAATCTGTTATGCAATAACAATTGTACTAAACAGAAAAAGAGCAGCTGTTACTGGAAGTTACAGTTAATTGTTGTATTTTCCAGCACAAGGTTGTTTGGTGGGAACAGTGGGGAAAAAAATGCAAGCAACTGCCAAAAAACAAGCATGTGAGGTGAAACTTGAATTTGCTCTCATGAGAACTTGAAGGTTCATAAGTAACTGAGAAAAGCACGCTGTATTTAAATCTCTGGAGGTGTACTGTACTGTGTAGAGACAGAGCACAGCATACAGTGTTGGCAGGAGAAAGAAAGGAGAACAGAAGATCAGAAAGACTGGTGGGAAGGTAAGGGTCATCAGGATGGATGGAGGATAAAGTACCTGCTGCCACTTCAAATGTTTTTTTTCTTTTGTGGCTTCCTGAGTATATTTGAAGCTCTTAACCTTTCCCTCTCCCCTTGCCCCCACAGAACAGGTTTTCATGTGCTTTTTAAATAAAATGAGCAAAGTGTGTCCCTGTTACAAGTCTATAGAGTAGAAGATAGACAAATTAGCTTGGGGCATTTTGTAAGAACTGTAGGCCGAATCTGATGTGATATATGCATGCCTCAAAAGCAATCTCTGAAGAGGGACTTAAGCAAAATATCCCACCTAGGTTCTGGCTATTGTTAGACCAGTGGGAAAGCTGTGGCAGAAAGCATCCCTAGGCAGGCTGCAGACAGGAACAGGAGAAGGTCCAGAGGCGAGGGGCCTGCCCCTCTTGTTGCATGGGTGCCTCCTGGCCCAGCAGTGGCCATTATTCATATATGAGCATTTCTCTGTTTTGGCACTGCTGCTGACCCACAAAATCTGCCACAGGGTCTGCGCTCTGGGAATACAGCTTGTTAGTCAATGTGTTCTTCCAGCACAAGGCTATAAAACATTGTAGGTCATAATAGGCAGCTATTTATTTCTTAATATATCCTTAGGTGCCAGAGGGGAGATTTTTTTATAAAAATAAAAATAGTGCTGGAATGCATTTATTAGGGATTGACTGTATTTATTTTGAACCACAACACATTCATGCAGATCCACAGTCAAAACTACAAGAAAGTACAGTTTCCACTAGTCTGAGCTCGATTCTCTGAGCACTTATCCTTGCCTGTATTGGTCCTGTTATGAATAATTCCACTGGCTTCTATGAAAGAACACGCAGTAGCCAACCTTTAACCCAGTACTATTTGCAGGATGACTCTCTAAATTACTTCAGTACTAAGTTTAGCTCTAAAGAACAAACACATTGCCCAAAAAAAGAAAAAGAACAAACACAGACTGAAAGTTGAGCAATGCTCTGAAAATGAATTTTTTTCAATATTAAAATGATCAAGCCTGATTACTATTCATTAACCAGAATGTCTTACAGCTGAAAAAACTGTTTCTTGTCACCAGCTGTATCACATTAATTCAACACAAGTGCAACCACTGAATATCAGTTGATATTAGAAAATTGCATAGTTTATGCAAATTAAAAATACTTTTTTGTTTTGCACAAAACAGATCATGATGTCTGTGTAAGCTTACAACATGAGATGGTTATTATTGTTCCCATTATATTATGGAGATACTGGTCATGGTTCTGTAGTTAAGACCCAACTGAGTTTTGTCCCTAAAACAGGAATTCATTCTTATACTTATAAATGTAAATTATGTAAAATCTGAGACAGGTCTATAACACCTTGCTCCTGAATGAAATTATGGCTTTTGTGAAGTTGGTATGAATTGTGGCATTAGTACCATGTGTCTTCAAAGAATTTACAAATATATTCAATGATTAATTAAAAGTTTAAAAATAAGTTCTTTAAGCAAGCACAGAAGTGACAACAACTTGAGAACGTATTTTAGATATTGCTATGCTATCATGCTAGTGTGTCACGGCTTATGATTTGCATGTTGATAACTTCAGACAAGTAAATAACACTTATACAGAAATTCAGTGCATAGGAATGGCATAAGTAGGCCAAACAAGATTTCATGCTGATTTACAGGCAGAACCTGTTGTGATCAGGAGGTTTTGAAAAAATGTACAACTTTACGTACAGTGGAAGAGTAAGTGCCTTTCAGACCCGAGGGCAGCCCTCTGACTGTTCCTACCTAGGTAATCCCTCTCCAGACACAGATGGTCGGCAGCCACCGAGGAGTGCTCCTGCCAGGTATCACCAAGGGGCGAGAGACAGTGCTCATTGCAAGGGGGAGCAAAAGGAGGCTCAGTCTGCAACCGCTTTTATACACCATCTTGTTTTATGTAGCACAATTTATCGATATACAGGACAGGTGAACTAGCTTGTCTGTGCTGCCAGTATAAGGTCTACAGTTAGGAATAATTATCACATTGTATTCCTGATTCTCCTGTATCTGCCTCTGCTCAGATTGAGGACTGATTCTGTAAACCCTTGCTTCTTGTTATTGTGGCACTCCCGATAATGGCACAGTGTAGTCAAATGTGGATGGGTAAATCAGTTTTTAACACACAGAAATGCTGAACCAAATGAGCATTTTGCACAGGGTTGATATGGTCTCTGGGCAACCTGAGTTCATTACAGTTCTGAAAGTTTTCTTCAAAAACATAGTTAAAAATGGAATTATGCTCCCTCGATTATACAGCATCATCTGGCCTAGGGCTGCAGCAAGCAAAGCTTTTCTTGACCTGCTAATGCTATCCCTTTGCTGCCATGAATTTGGTGTGGCATACTAGGGAGCATGATAAAGACATACAGTGACACAGGCCTGATCTGCCCAATGCCGAGGCAGATTCTGACCACAGTATTTCCCAAACCACTTGTGTGGATATGTCACCAACGTGCACAGGCTACTACTGGCAACACAATGGGTTCCTCCCTTCAAGAGTGAAATTGGAAAACGGTGTGGAATTCTAGGGAGCAGAGTTGTAGGAAACCAAAGGGGAGAGGACCCCAAAATGAGTACATTGAACTGGTACCCTGAAGTTTTGCCATGAAAATAGCTCAGGAGCGAGCATCACCGAATAGGATGTCTATTTATTCATGATCACCACCAACAACCATATATATATGTATACATATTAGAAATGAACTTTGATTTAATTGGATACCTTCAATTCACAATGATTAAGCAGAAAAAAATTCATTTTTCAAGGCTAGTTATTTAGAAAGTGGTACATGTCCAACTGCTTCTTTTAATAATAGAGAACCCATGCTTCAGAACTCTGATGCAGAGCCGGCCTTCCTTGGGGAATTCAGATCTAGGACTAGGTCTGAGACCAGTTTCTAATTTAATTACTGTTACCAAAATAAAAATTACTCCCACAAAGCGGATGAAATCCCCCCATGTAGATCAGCAGCAGAAGGCCTCTTTAAAGCTTTATGGTATAGACATAGGCCTTGTGCTGATGTCTGCACAGCATAAGCCTCTGTTGCTGGCCCATCTCCGCAGGAATGAATTGTATCCAGAAAGCACAGCGGAAAAGGTTCGGAATAATATTCTAGGTTAGGCTCTTAATATTGGGTAGCATAAGGGTCAAGTAAATAGTTTTAAAATAACTGAACTTTATTACTGTGAAGAACCTGTGTGGAAGTACAGCTTTGTCTTTTTGGTGTTGATCTTGTAACACACGGTTTTTACCTTTTGTGATCATATTCTGAGTTACTAAAGCTCATCGCTGATGAGTTGATTCCTTGCTGTTCAACTAGTGGTTCCATAAAAATTTAGTAAGTTATTTAAAACTACTTCAATTGACATTTGGCAATTCGGGTATTGTTTTCAATTTTCAGACAAGCCATTCTTAAATAATGGCTATAAGAAGTGAGTGATGCTTTTAGATGTTAATTCAGCACTGAACCAATTAACTACCCATGTATGCAGTTTTGTAACAATATCTCATCTATTTTCAGTTAATTAGGCAACATGATTAAGATCATATGTGTTGAATTAACAGGTCAGTGCATTATCTCACTACAATTTCATCTAGGAGACAACTTTATCGGAAAGCCATATGAAAAGAACAACAATTTATCCACCCCCAAGTTCCCAGTTTTGAATGTAATCAGCCCAATGTTTCATGGAAAGAGGTCAGTTTTGAACTTGTTTCCTATATAGATTTTTTCTGCTTTGAAATGTGAATTTCCAGTTGAGGCATACAGGTTTAATAAAATGGTCTAAACAATCATTTGCGTAAAAACTGCACAACAGAATGAGAGAGAAAATTCTTCACTTCTTACTCCATATTGGTCAGTTCATATTTATCATACACGTCATTTTCTTCTTCTGGCTGAGTATCCGAGTGATGAATTTCAATAAAAACAATATAGATCGTTGCTCCAAGTACACCTCCCAGCATAGGTGCAACTATAGGGACCCACCACCAATTATTTCCAGCCCTGTAAGACCAAAAAAAAAAAAAAAAAAAAAAACAAAAAAAAAAAACCCCCAAGAATTATCATTATTTATTACTGTAGTGAATACCCTACCTTATATTTGGCACTAAGCAAATGCAGTGGTGTGTCACACACTATACTGTAGACATTTCTATTTTGTCTCACATTTCTGTAAATGGATGACACTCCTGTCTGTCCTGCCCACGTTGTGATTGAAATGCTAAGTAACAACCACCAGACATGTTGGTCTACGTGCTGTACTTGCGCCTCAGAAGATAAGGCCTCTTTACTGCATGTCTGCTTTGGGGCCAAGGGATAATTTCTCCCTTGTGGAAAATGGGCTTCATTGACTTACAATGAAATAAACAGAGACATATTTATTGCACAGCAGTTTTGACTGATGCTGTTGCCAGATGCTCATGAATAGGTTTTCAGGAGTGATTAATGCAAATATACGTTGCAAAGATGGGTTATCTCATCTGCATGGAGATTTGCAGGTTCAGGCCTGCAATAGTATATATGGTGTTCCTCTTGACAAGTATAACAATTATACTTGATTTTGAGTATATGTGCCTTAAGGAATGTAATAAAACACAGTGACTGTAAAGTGGCTTATACTTGACTAGAGTGGTCAAGATTCAAATTTCATGATGTAGAGTCTTATCTCTCTGATTAAAATGTGGTGTCTTTCAGTAAGAGGTAAATAAGAGTTTAGAAGTTTTATACACCTAAAACTTAATATTTTTTAGAAGTGCTGTGTTCAGTGAGAAAGTCTGGCCCATTGGCTCTGCTGAAATGTTTGCATTGTCTTTGCACAATTACTAGGATTTAATTTTAAATGTGTAGATTTATGAACACTTTTAAAGAAGCAAGTCCACCATTAAATGGTATAAAACAATAAATAACAACATCTTTATGCAGGAGACGTGGGCTTGTAGAATTGCTCTCCCTTTCCTGGAGGTCCACATTCAGACAGTAAACTACTGAGTATTGGTTTCAGAGCACAGACTTTCTTAACGGTACTGGTGCATGAAGGTGTTTTGATTTGATAATGTGCTGTATTAATTGAATATGCGGGTCTGCAGTGAAAACCAAGCTACCTCAATTTCATGCATATTGAAAATGGGGAAGTAACAATTTTTTTCTTCCAGAAATACAAAGGGACAAGTTCATCTGTGAGAGGAACTTTACAGGAAGCTGCCAGGGGAATTTTTAAACTGTAAGGATAATTATTCAGCACTCAGTTGTATAGATTTTTGCAGAAGTGAACTTGTGGTTAAGTTACAACATGAGAATGGAACAGGGCTAATGTCACAGTGCCCTATTGATGATAATATTATTCCTTGTTCAGGAATGCCTTAGATGTGCATGTTTTGCCTTTGGAATTATTTATATTTTGCCCTGAGGATATAAAATAACTCCTGATACTGTTCTACTGAGTTTATAGATCTGTGTGTTCTTGAGTCATGAATGTCTGTTGAGCCCCTGAATTTCTGGAACAAGCATGGACTAAGGTTTTATTGAATTAATCAGCACACCAAAATCTGTATCAAGTACTTGCATGTAGTCTTCTGTGTGCCCACGTGTGTACATTGGCGTATAATGAAGGTGTTTCTTGGCAGGTTTCTCTCTCTGCTTGTTCCATGAACTGACATGTGCCTCGTTGGCTCCTGCATGACCTTCTCCAAATCATGGCCTGTATTTGCAGCAGCTGCTGTCAGCTGTGCTTCAGAGACCCTTCTGCTAGGCTGATGGGCGTAAAGTCTTTCTAGAGAGCGATGCCAAAGCTGAAATGGGATCGGGACACAGCTGACATGAGTTTCCATGACACTCAATCCTCCTTCATAGACACAGGAGCAAGAACTCTTTGTGCCAAGTACAGATAGCTACACTGAAGTAACCTTAGTTCCCTTATACCCTAGCTTACAGCTTTGCTGCCAAGTTAGCAGGAAAACATCCAGCTATGCCTTTGTCGTCATCAGGTGTTTTTGCTGTGGGGCAGAGCAGGGGGGAGCCAGTCGTGAAGGGCAGGAGGCAGCGCACGGGCCTGGCAAGCGGCACTTTGGTTAACTGCAAAAATTTCCAGGAAAATGCAGTGTATAAGCTATACGGACTGGGGCCTTTGGCCCGTTTTAGACCTGCAAATGCATTTCGCGCCTAGCCAGCTGCTGTGGGAGGGTGAGATAACGCTGTTCGCTGTAAGAAATGCCGGGATGATTCAGGCATTGGGCAGCGTGGAAGGCGCCTGGCTACCGGTCTACGCTCGGGGAGGAACGCGGCGCGTTTCGGAGGCCGCGTCGCCGTGCAGAGAAGAGGTGCGTCTCCCGGCTCTCCCCAAAACGCAGTTCAGTTCACTGCGGGCGACTGGTCCCCGGCGCCGTCGGCGGGGCCGGTGGCCACGAGGTGTCAGCGTTACCGCGCTGGCGGCGGCGGCGGCCGGGCCCTGCCCGCCGCGGCTCCCGGCCCGCAGCGCCGTCACGGAGCGAGGCGAACGCCGCCTGGGCGCTGCGGCCGTGGCCGGTCAGACCCCGCCTGGGCAGAGGTGCGGAGGAGCGCGTAGTAAAGCGGGGGCGAAACGTTCCACGGCTACCTTCGAATGCGGCTGGGAAGCGCTGCTCTGGACCGCCGCTTCTCGCTGCCGTTTCGCGCTCCGTTGTGCTTGTCAAGACCCGCAGTCCGGTGTTTGTACTCAAAGCTCTGGCTGTTTTCTCGCTACGGGCGAGAGAAACTTCACCACCCAAAACTTTTCCTAAGCTTGTTAGAATATTAAGCACGTGCTTAAGAAAGCCTCCAGGTTATCTCCGTGGTTTGAGGACAAATCGTAAGAAACATTTAGGTCTCTGAAGTCAGCAGTTGTCTCCTAATGAGGGGGACGGTCGCCATCTGTGACACCTACTCCCAGCAGGTTGAGGAGCAGTTTGCAGGAGCAGGCCACAGTGCTGACTACATCTGTTGTGTGCGAAATGGTGCTCTCTGCAGGGTGCTGGACAGATATCCCCTTTTCAGCTGCAGTGGGTCAGGACAGCTTCAAATTGGAGCCTTTAACCAAAACAAATCCAGTTGCACTGGCTAGGGAAACCACACCATAGCCCGCGTCCCCTAGCTTGATTCTCAGGGAAACTGCTGCTCCAGGTGCCTTTGTGCAAAATGTAATAACAGCAACATTTAGAAAATCCCTGCTCAACCGCCTCCCTATCCTCTGGACAACTCCATAGTCCAGCAGAAGAGCTCCCCTCCGGTCTACTTGCAGTTCCCTGCCTGAGAACATGATAAAACCAGAATTTACTGAACCTGCAAGCACAAAGAACGGTAGAGGGGGTTTTCCCCCTGTGAACCAATTATCTCAGTGTTTAGAGCATTTGCTTGGGATCAGGGTGTAGAGAGTCTCATCCTTCTGTATCTGATCTATTCCAAAGTGAGGCTTTCCTGGTGGTCCCTGGCTGCTCTGTAGGCAGCACTTGAACACTCACTGACCTGGACAGAGAATGACTTGGTTACCTTGTGAAATGCTTCCACCCTCACTCCAATGAATGTTCAATGCGTCTTCAGTATTTCCTGTTGTTCGGTTTGTGCAGCACTCCCCTCGTGTTACTGTGGAGGTTTCATGCTTAGGTCCCAGTTCCTGGGCATGCCTTTCACTAGAGAGCTTAAGCACCTGCCTCAAGGTTGTGAATTCCAGTTAAGCTGAGACATCCAAGGTTTAGCTGTCAACTGTTGCTGCATCACTTAAGTCTCTCACATACATGTAATCCCAGCAGAGCATTAGGCAGTTCAGGATCCCAGCTACAATGGTTCAGACTCCTCCCATGGCCTGTAATTGATTCAAAGTTTCCAGCTACCTAACAAAGCTCAAGTTCTTCCTAAATCCAACCTGGATCTATGCTGTAACTAGATGAGAATATATTCCTGTTGTATCATTCCCTTGAAAACTTGGTTATAGCTGTAGCCTTATAACTGAAGGCAGGGAGGAAGACTTCTTCCTCAATTTATATGTCCCTGAGACTGCTGTAACTTTATTCTGGCAATGACCAGAGATTTCATATCTCATTTTTTATGTTCCCATTTTTAAATTTCTTAGTATGGTCTTTACAGTGGGGATGCATTCCCTCTCTGTATATAAATCCTAAAACTAAATTAGGGAAGAGCCCCTATCGGTACAGATGTAGAGTTTTCTTTTAATTTCTTAAATGTAAATAAGACCTTACTGTTGGAGAAGAGGGGAGTTCACGGGTATTCTGTGACTAGACTACAGTACCATCAGGCTTCCAAACGTTTTCAGCAACATAATAGCCAACTTCATAATATATTACAGATTATAGCACATGACACTATAATTAACATTATAGTCAACAACTACTTATAATTCAGTAGGCATGAGAGGAGAAACCTAGGTGTGGGATGTCACTTTGTGTGCTGCTGTTTTTAGGAAAAAAGAAAGAAGTGCAGTCTAATGGTACAGTGGTAAAAGCTGCTGGCGAGGAAATGTTTGGAGGTAAATGGGCTAGATTGCCAACCTCCTGCCAGCAGCTCCCCAGAGCTGTGTTACATCCAAGCTTTGGATCTGGCCTACAGCATGACTGTGTGCCCATTTCTTCTATGCTGTGCCTAGCTTTTTTAGGGTTTTGCCTTTACTAACGCACATGATTTGTGTAGATGGAAGTCATACTAAATAAATACAGATTATTTGTACTTGGTGAAGTAGCTAAAATGAAATCTCTATTAAACAGAGCTCTCTAGTGGTCTGCAGTACTTCTGGGGATTCCTACTTGTAAATAACTGGAAAAACAAACTATACAAAAATAAACCAAAAAATCTGCCTCCTGATGACAGATTACTCTTACTTAGATATCCCAGAGTGCCTCTTACAGTGGATATGTGTAAGCCGTGGATTTGATGTGCAACTAATTAGCTGTGCATTTGGCCAGCCAAGAGCGTGTGTGTGCGTGCACACATGCATGCACAGGGATTTGAGAGTGTGCTCTGAAATGTGGGAAAACGAAGGGAGCTTGCTTTCATTCACTCCTTCGCTCCCAGGCAGGAAGTCAGGCTTTTAGATTGTTGTATATTTCTGCAATAACTCAGTAGTAATAATAGGCTAAATCAATCTGATATGTCTGTGTTTTTTACAGCACCCAATAAATATTCCCACCTAACTCTCTCACGATTTCTTTTTTTTTTTTTTTTTTTTTTTTTTTTTTGGAAAGCTGCAGGACAAGAGAAGAAAGCACTCATATTTCCAGTGACCTCTAAGGAACTCTAATACTTTGGGAAGGGTCTGCTTGAAACAATGATTGATATTAGAGATAATGCATGTTTGATTTGCCTTAGGAGCAGGAAATCCTTTTTAAAGCCCAGTTCCTAGAGGATGTCTGGCTTAAAGTGCATGAATAGCTTCTTCTGGTATGCAAAGAATTACCTATATGTACGTAAAGTTTGACTTGGTACCATGTTGAATCAAGATCTTACTTTCCTAGGAAGCAATCTTAGCCAAGAGCATTTTACTTCATATCCAGGCATACTTACGTGAATACTTCCATCCCCCATCCTGCAATGGCTGTGAAGAGCCTTGGGCCTAGATCCCTGGCCGGGTTCATGGCACAGCCACTGTTCATTCCCAAGGAGCAAGTAAGAGCAATTATAAGAAGTCCTACGGCAATTGGCTCCAGGCCCTTTGGTACGTTGTTATTTCTGGTGTCAAAAATAGCAAATATAGCCAGAAGAAGAACAGCTGTTGACATCACCTGGCCAATGCAAAGAAAAGAATATTGAGTAAATATGTGCAGATTCCTTCCAATAATGAAAAGAGGGGCTATGGCAGCTCTGTGGCTTGTGGTGGCTTAGAGCTGGTATTTAGATTTATCCCACTATACAGAGTAGCAAAATTTGGAACCCAGTGCCTCTGTACTTTACAGTAATGAGAAGTTTTTGTATCTGTGCTGAAAGAAAAAGACAAGAAATGTGTTGCAGACATCTGAAAAAAAAAAAAAATCTGCAACAACCTGGTGTGGAAAGAATAGAGGATTTAAAAGGCATCTGCTATGTGAGGTCTGGTGCTTTGTTTCCACATTTTTTTTCCTATCAATTTAACAGTTGCATTTACTTGATTTTTGGTAGTTCTGCTATGGCAGTGCAATCGGTTACATTGATATAAGAGTGTTTTATGTGACTGTAGCTTACACTGATAAATCAGACTAAATATGCACCTCTTTATCCAGGTATTGCATAATGTAAGAAAAAAAAAGTGAAGTCTACAAAGTCAAAACTGAGCAGTTAAAAACTAGGAATTACCTAAATTAAGGTTGCATGTGTAACTGTAACGTGAACTCTATTGCATGTGCTAATTGAGCTGATGAAGGAAATTTTCTTGGAATTACTTTGATGGAAGTAAATGCTTAAATGCTTTGTAGATGTTGATTTTGCTAATAGTTAACTTTGCTGAAACTTTTGTCTGTTTTTCCCCTATGTCAAAACGTTCAGTTTCTATACTGATTTAAAGAAGTTTAAGTTTGGGGGCATTAAAAATAATTTTTAAATTTCATCTGTTTTTAATTTTGTTTTAAAACATCCATGGGCAAAAAGATCCTATGGAAAAGTCTGTTGACTGATCCAAAGATCAGAATTGTCTTTCTTATAAAATTTCAAAACCATGTTTGTGTTTTTTGAAGCCAGATTGCACAATCTTCAAGTCCTTTACGTAACGAATTCCTGTGCTTCAGCAATCCCTACTTTTCATGGCTTGCTTACACAGTGTTTATTTCATGTATGCCTGAAGAAGATGGGTAAATTGATTAGAAGTAGATAGAAGATATGAAACCTCATTTTTCACTGTTGGATAAGTGGGATTAGGGGATACAGATTGGAAATAAAGTGGAGACTTTTTCAGAGTCAGTCATTTGAAAAATAACAAATAATACGAATCTATTTGCAAAGAGAAGGTTGGAGAGGAGGCTTATGGTAGCAGAAAACTCAGTTGTTCAAGGTGTGTTAAACTGGCTGCTTAAACATTACTTAAGAAATAATAGGCCCACAAAATGGGCTGGATTTTGATGTAAATGGACATAGCTTTGCTGAACTTTCTGGAGAAACATTGATTTATGATGGGGAAAACCTCTTACATATATTGCATTACAGACATGTAGAGTGCAACAATTAGTATGGTGTATGTGAAAAGAACAACTTGAAATTATCTTGCTTGTAAAATACAACTAAAGTGTAACCCCCACAAACAGCATTGCATTCTCATTGCTATTGTACACAGTGATGTATGACCAAAATGGTGAGATTCATCATACTCATTAGAGATCTATATTTTGGTTTTTTTACTGCTTGGTTTTACAGTTTTCAGTATGTTCAATTTGTAGAATCAAGACAGCAAGTGCACTTACCTGATCAGCAAATCCATTTATGAGGGACAGATACGGAGCTGGATATGTTGCAAAGATATGTGCTGTTGCATTAGGTCCTGTGACTTCAAGGTTTCCATTGCTATACTCCATAAAGGCATCTATAGAAAACAGCCATTACCTGGTTGCACTTCTCCAAAAACACTAGGTTTTCTAGGACTAGAATATGTGATAGATCTGTGCACTTCACATTCTCAACTGAAACTCATCATTTTTTCTGGGAGCATAGTTAATGGATTTGAGGTGATATGCTAATCATACCTTCCTGTCTCATCTCTCCTCCTGTGCCTTGAAGTACTTGTTTTATATATCACAGCTTTCAAAATGGGGCTGTTTTTTCCCTGGTCATTGCTCCAAACTCAGTGCCAAGGAGCATTTTCTGATTCTGAACACAGTTGCATTATTCTGTAAGAGGTGCTATATTTGGCATGATGCCCCAAAAAATGCATAGTATCCTGATTGTACTGTTGTGGATTCCCAGCCACCACTATTCCATTTGACAGTTGTACAATGACTTCTTCTGGGAACGAACTCTCCTGAGAGACCTCCTCTTCTAAAGGAGTTAGAATTTTTCACTCTACACGGGCTTTACACCCAGCTGCTATGCTAGTCATCCAAGATATGAGGGGAGAGGCTAGCCTCAAAACTTCAGTTCTTCGTATATTTAAGTTAGTGTATTTTTATATGTATTGTAAAGATCTATGTGTATTGAAAATACATGTATATTTATGTTACTGTATTTAACCATATTTTAAATAGTATAATATGACTTCTGTGTTGGAATAATTTGCTGCCTTGGCAAGCCCTGAAATGTTACAAATAGGAAGACACTAAGATGAAGCACTCAAAAATCTGCATAGACAGACAAGAATAACAAATGCTATGCCTTTATTTCACTACTGGATCCAGTAATGAGGTGATACTTGTTAGTAAAGAAACAGCTCCCTTATCTCCCATGGAAGTCATGGTGAGGATGGTTAGCTTCTCCTGAAGCTAGCAGACAAATCTATTTCTCCTTGCCCCTGTTTTTTCTAGCTTTGCTTAAGGCCACAGCATGGGTGCCAAGAATATTTAGTTGTTTAATTTGGTCAGGTTCTCTCATTTGCAATGCCAGATTATTTTGTTGCATTTAACTATTAGGAAAAAAAAGCATAAGGAAAAGAAAATTTCTCAGCTGTGAATTACTTTGTACACCTTTAGAAAGGCCTCATGTTCAGCAGCCTAGCTTATATATTCCCTCGCTCTTTCAGGGGCATTGCTGAAAATGAAAGTACCTAGCTTAAATACGTGTGTATGAGGAAGGTGGAGGTGTTGAGCTCCTATGTCTGTTTTTCTAGCAGTGAGTTTTCAGTGGACCTCAATGAGTACACGACACTCCTGCAAGTTGCAGGAAGGAAGAAGTACAGAAGAGGTTTGGGAATTAGTAAGATCAAGAGGAGGGTAAAGTACTTGAGCAGAGATAGGGATATGAGAAAATCCTGCGCTCCTGAATAACAGGAAGAAGTCTCTAACCCTAGCCCTAAGTTCTCTATCTTAGCTCCCTATCCTACTGCTACCCTTTGGCAGAATGCCGTGAATCCCCCCAACCCCATGTGCATGTTGACGTGCTGCTGCATCCTGGCCACAGCCCTAATTCTGGTAGTCTGGTTTGAGCAGGACCTAGATTCAGATGGGAATCCTGTTCTGGAATACCATAGTTTCAAAATTCTAACACTAACCTTAAAACAAACAAAAAAGTTCCCCACCCCCCCACCCCAAACAAACCAACAAACCCCATCAAACCCAAATCAGTTACCACAGTTCCTAAAGATTTTTCTTTTTGTGATTACTACTGGTACTGAGCACCTAGCTGATATACAATAGGCATTTCTATTTTAGTTTTTTTTCTCTGTTGCACCTAGACCCAGCGCTGTCTGCAGACACAGACACAGAGAGAGAGGCTTTGGAGGAGATGGGCTGGGTCAGTAGATGCAGTTTTGGAGTAGGTGATTGAAGCAACTGATCTGGCTGAGTGGATTCATCAAGTCAGGGAGTCTGTTACTTAGTTTTTTCCTTTTGTGGCACACCGTGTAAAAGAAACATGCCTCAAGGATAGGGGTAAATTTTTTTTTCTTTTTTTCTCTTCTAGTATGTGACCCCTTTATCACTCTACCTGGAATTCATTGCCTTGGAGAGCTACCTCTATAAGGTGGTCTGAAGTTTAGTCAGGAGGGACTTGATCTCATATCCTGTAACCTTAATGAACGATGTTGGTGATACTTGCCTACAGGCACTTGGGTCAGGTCTTTAATGTTTCTAATTTGCTTGGAAGATGAATAGCCCTATATCCTGGCTATTAAGTAACTTAAAATCCTTACTGAGAAATACATGATCTCAGAGTATCTGATTTCCCACAAATAATTTTTCTAAATTTCAGAACGTTTCCTGGAGTATTAGTGTTTCCGAAAAGTTGTAGGATACCTGGAACGTTTGAGCCTTTCTTTTCTCCTTCAAACTATTTATGCTTCTTCCTTTCTTCTTTATGGCTTTAGCTTCAGTCCTGTCATTAGCCCTGTGTGAACGGAGTCCTCTGCCTGCTTGGCGTTCATTGAAAAATTGGGGCCTTAGAGACTGCCTGACCTCTAGTTTGTCCTGTGAGCATGTCTAAGGTGTACTCACCATAATAAATCCCAAAGACAGCCGCTGCTCCAACAAATGCTCCCAGGAGCTGTGCTAATATGTAAATTGGTAATTTGGTCCATTTTAATCTTCCAGTCACGCACATGGCTAATGAAACGGCTGGGTTTATGTGACCACCTGAAAAATAAATCACAAAATAAGTCATATGGATGACTCAGATACATGACAATAGGTGAAGGATTTGTAAAAATGTAGGCACTTTTGAGCACGAGACTAGTACGTGCTTTTCTAGATGTTATTTTGCAATTAAATGCTGACTGCAATGAAACTGAAACAAGTTGGATTAAATTAGAGGGGGAGGGGGAAAGCCACCAAGATCCAACTTCCCTCGTGATGTTTGCAGACTGTGCTATTTATCAGACTGCTGTCCTGCAGTATATAATCTATAGATCTATAGACAACTTTTCTAGAAAAAGCCTAAACCTGCACTATTGGTTGTAATAGGAGGGTCCGTCATTCTGCACATATTCTCTCTCATCAAGGGCTTCGGCTTTTTATTTTTAAGGGAGGACTGGGGCAGCAGAACATTCATTCAGTTTAGCAAGCATGTATTAAGATTAAGGACTATTACTGGCTTGATCGTGTATCTTGAGGCAGATCTGGAGTACCCTGGATTTAAGTCATGTTTATGTCCCAATCTTCAACCTGGGGTTACTTAGGAACTCGGTTTTCATGAACATAAAATAAAATAATATTAGGTCTGTCCAGCTTTGTGCTGACTGTTGGTGAGCTAGATGAGATCTGGGGACAGCAGTGCATAGTTCTTCATCACACATTTTCATCAAGCTCTTACACCCTCCAGAAAGGTCCATGCTAAGCAAACTGACAAAGTAGCTGTGCTGAAACAGAGAGTTCTATTTCCTGTGGAATTTCCTTCCTTTGTATTTAGGAGTAGCTACACCTAAACTCACGCATGGAAAAGATTGCAGCAGCATTGGAATTCTTTGTGACAATTTTAGTTTCTAAAATATATTTATTATTATGTCACATGCTAGTCACTTCCCTCAACATCTTTTATCAACATGGAAAAAAGTGTTGAATGCTTTTGGAAAACTTCATTTTTTACACATATGTAGTTAATACTTAAGAAATATAAATTGCCAAATAAACAGATGAAACGGTACTCCACAGTAAAAATACAGTAAACCCCAAGTTTTGCAAGGACATAGCAGATCCATTGGTTACTTTCCAGGTGAAGTCTCATTTCAGCCGGTATGGTTATCAGAAAAAAAATGGCCTTTGTCTTTCATAAAATAACTAAAAGAGCGTGACCTTTGTCTATCAAAGGCTAGTGATGGAGAAAGGGCCTCTATGTACAGTTTCTGTGTTTGTTTGCACTTCAGGTCAGTGAGTCATTATCTTATGAAATCCAGGCACCTTTGATACATAATGAACTGACAAACACAGATAACAAGCTGGATAAAACCCTCTTTGTATCATTTCCAAAACTCTGACCTAGTAGCACCAGTCTTGAATTAATTTTGAATTCCTCACTGTGTTTCAAATTTTTCAGCACAGAGCAAATAGATGGATGACACCTTATTTAACAGCCCTTCATCTGAATTTTGTTAAATTGTTTTCTTGTCTTTTGTTCTTTACTCTAGCTGGAATGAATAATTTTCCTTTCTTTCAACACCTGATATTGTTCCCCACCTGTATATAATACAGGGTGATTATGATGGCCAGGACAAGTCATAATAATAGTAGAGATGTCTGATTAACATTAAATCTGGAAAGGAAAAGTCTAGTTGAAGGCTCTCATGCTGAGATAGGGGAGTTAAAAGATTCTTGGTTCCTGTGCCACTGGTAGTTTCCTGGTTAAAAAAAAAGTTCACTTTGGACAGTGTGTTCCCCATTCTTTTGTAGTTGCAGTGATCATAGTCATGAGTTTGTCTGAAGTGTTTAGTTGGAAAAAATGGTGGGGAAATTATCTAGACATGGAGGAAAATTAGGTGGAGAAAAAGCAAAAAGGGGTATTTTTCCTAGATAAAAGAGCTCAAATTCACCAAATATGCAGATTATATATTTTATGTTACCATGAATTTAGAATTTCATGAAGAACTGATGCGAAATATTTTAGCAGTACTTAAACATGAGACTTCATGGTCAAAGAGCCACAGAATTTGCTAACAAATTCTGTATAGGAAGTGATATTCTAAAGTGTCCACTAGTAATCCTATGTTGGATAGTCACAGCCTATTGAAATATCTTTTCCTATTCTTTCAGGAAGAAAACGCACTGCATGCAGAATCCTTTGTCATGCGAAAAACACAGGAAACACAATACTGCAACATCTGCAACTGCTCTGCCCTGCTGGGATTGAACTCTAATCTTCCATATAATGGAGATGAATATCCCTTAAAGATGCAAATGTAGGACAGGTTTGTGTCTTTACAGGATTTTTTTCATGATACTGCATTAGAAGAGTTTACCTGCCTACATGTAAACCAAAGGCTGTACTTTAAAGTTGTTCAGATAATAGGAATGTACTGCTGAATTAACTTTGTGCGATATTAAGGAACCATTCTGCTCTGTTTCAATGACAATAACAGGACTGCCTGTTTTGCTGTACCTTGAGCACTTTCTAATGTGAACTAAGAAACCTCATGCGTGGTGTCTCTGTAAAAGAATTTGTAAAAGAGAAGACAAATGGCCACAGTAATTTCTGCTATAGCAGCTATTTATAATGGCCTAGTTATACCTAGAGATACCAGCCCACATTGGCTTTACCCTCTTTATGAAGGGTAAGAAATTCCTCTATGAGAACTGGAGTACAAGAGGGCAATATAAACTCCACATACAACACGGAGTATTGTGTATTATAATACACAACACGGAGTATTGTGTATTATAATACACAACACTGTGTATTATTACAACCCATCATTTTCTATTTTAAAGAGAGAATTGAAATGTTAAATGCACTTATGCTAATGTTTCTGATATTAATTTGGCCAAACTGAATGGTGGAAATAGGAGACAAAGCACCATCCAATATGGCACACATAGACACTGATTAGTTAGCCCAGCTACAGATAAGAGAGATTCCTGACCAATATATATTGAGGAAATGTTATAGCAGAAACAAAGGGGCAATGACAGTACGTTGGCAGTGTATCACAGAATGTATCTCTAGTACTGAATCTTTTTGCTTTTTCTGCTTTCTGTGGTTTGCTGCTTCTGCGAATAAGCAGACGGGAGCAGACTTGCTGCTGCCTGTCATAGGACATGAAGAGATAAAATGCATTCTCTAAGATGAACCCTGCTCATTATACCCATTAGTGGGTCATTCTAACTTCTACCTAGCTGGCAACCATTTTAGCTGGTGACTGCTGGATTCTGTAAGCTTTTCATGGTTATTTCCTTAAATGCAGTGCCTGTGCTGTCCAGGATCATCTCTATCGACAGAATTTTCAAAGCAAGACCAAGCAGATTTCTGGTTTGCACAGGCCATTTTCCATAAAAGCCAGAGGTCTGCCAAGGTTTGTGCACTAGTTCAGATCAGAATTTGGTGGAAGATTTTGCCAAATGCAAAGAATAGAGGGAAACAAGAACACAAAAGATGTACTAATGAAACTCTGATGCAGATTCCTCTGTAATGGTGCTTGCTATTGCTAGATACATAATTGTTTATACCATGAAGTGGAAGTAATTTAATAAGGTAGCCTTAAAACTGTGGCAATAAATGCTATAGAAGAAAAAAGTCACTTACCAGAAACCCCCCCAGACACATACACTGCTATGGTGACTGCCATTGCAAATCCAACTGATACTGTCATGGGCCCACCATGGGCTCCTCGGCTAAGGACAGCCTGTCCTACACACCCACATCCAAGTGCCTGTATTTTGAAAGAGAAATGTAAAACCATGAGTGTGTCTGTCAAATGTTATTGGCTAGTTTGCAACTCCTGCTGCTGTCCAGGTATAGCTGAAAATGTCATTAAATATTGAAAAAATGCTAGAGTTTGAGATTAATGGCATGTGTGCCATTGTTGCCTTTGCTGTAATGAGCATTTACTCTTTATTTTCCCCTGCTCTGTGACCAGGAAGAATCTCTGCTAATAAGGACCTCTCTCTCCCCAGAAAACAGTTTTCAAGTACAATGATGGGAAACAGATCAGAACTTGGAGCCTAAACAAGATCTCACAGCCTCTACAACAAATCTCTGCATCTGAAAGTGAAGAGGGAATTAATTCTGTGTGGTAAGTTGTCAGTTCCAGATTGTTGTTATAAGCAATGAAAAAATTACTAGAAAAGTTATGAAAGATAGTTCAAAAAGCTTTTAATGTTTAATGCTGAAACTCTGGAATGAGACATCTTTCTGGAGATTTAGAGTGTGTGTTACTGTTGTGCTGCCTTGATATCATATATTGCTCTATCAGAATATTTCACTGGCTCTGCAGCTTGAACAATTAACTAGAGTGGGGATTACTGAATAATTCACATTGGACTATTCTCAATGGATTTAAACTGGCTTCCGCTTTATGTTGGTTCCCCTCAGAATGAAGTTCAGCAACACATTTAAATGCATGCTTAAGATCATGTATATTCAATTCTAAAGTTTCTGCTTAGCTTCAAGCATATGTTTAGGTCCTATTAAAGTTGGTAGGAAAGATTTTCAAAGGTACAAAAGGCCTTCAGTTTAAGACAGCCTAGCTGACCCATTTCTGCCAGAAAGCAATTTCTGTCTTTGGAAATCTTCTTTTTAAATATATGCCTAAGGGCTTTGCTGAATAAGGACCCAACACTCTACAGAAGATATCAAATAATATCTATAGTCTGAAAACTTTTGCTTCTCTGCAACTGTAAGTGATCTGAATCTTATCTTTTCTGGGATGTGACTAGATTTATCTTGAGCAACCTTAATTACTTTGATGTTAAATTGGAGATACATATTTTTATATAGACATATATATATTCCTCCTTTGATGGTACAGGTGAATCAGATTTTTTTTTCCCGTGTATAAAATCATTCCATCTTAGCCAATGCAGTTGCTTTGGCTAATCTCCTTGCTTCGCTTTAGTGTTCTGCCATTAGTGTGTGTCACCAGTGACTGTATTGTAAATATTCTTCCCAACTATGCCTATTTGAATACATAAAATTTAGTTATTTTAGACATGCTTATTTTCACTTGCAAGGCAGTTGCATTCAGAAACTGCAAAGTAATGGAAAAATCTCTCCTGCCTTAGAAATAGACTGTACCAAAAAGATTTGTTGATTGAGGTTTAACAAGCGAGTCCTGCTAGAATAGATACAATTTAAACAGGCAAAAATCATAATTTTGTTTCCATTATTTCCCCCAGGGGTTTAACGAATGCCAAAATGTGACAGAAAAGCTCTCAATAAAATTATACTCTTAACCAGCTTTGCAATGCAGACGGAGTTTCTGTTAAAGTGCCCCAAGACTCTGTCATACACCCAGGTGCAGTTCTTGCCTTGAGGTTATAATCATGCAAGCAAACAAAACACTGTCTGGTGCCAAAGTCTTACAGCTGTCAGGTTACGTAAGGGTAGGGTGGTGTTAGATAGCAGTAGTTTATTGGACTGTATAATTGAAGGTTACAAGACATATTCCAAGCCGCTGTCAACTGCTGTGCAATGGATGACATAAGCTTATGTTAGGCATTCTCTCATTGTCATTAGTATCATATACCTAGCAATTCAAATGGTAAGCACAAATGCACATACAGATATAAAACCAAACCAAAAAATATTTTAGTTGTTCGCAGCTGAAATTACATGTATCTTTAAAATGTCATGTAAGACAATTCTACTTATGTATTTATATGTTTAATTAATATGGAAAGAATGGGTATGCTGGAATTTATAAGGTTTAAGACTAGGGCACAAGCCTTGAGGAGGTGGAATTAGCATGCTCTAGCCTTCATTTTCCAGACTTCTCAAAGGGAGTATTCCAGAAATTGCACCAAGCAAGATTTTGTGAAAGATATGGCTCAGACATGGAGCAAGTTCGGTAGGCTCTTCTGGGGCCCTGTGTACACTGGGGTGCAGTTTGCGTTCAGGCAAGCAGTTAGATCGACAAGTATGCACTTGTGTTCTGAAATGGCATAGACAAAGTTTTTTGCAGATTCAAGAAAAGGCCATTCTTTTGAAAACATTACCCCTTTCTGTAAGAACGATGAAAAAAGAGAACAGGAGTGGAGAAGATGGGTATAGAAAAGGATAAGGGACAGTAACCACATCTGTGTATATCAACTACAAATTCACAAGAAGCGGGAAGGAAATAGGATGTAGGCTGTGGCGTCCCTTCCCTCTTTACCAGAACTGTGGAGAATCATACAGAAACAGCTGTGTAGTCCTCTTGCACAGGGGCTTCCACTCTGTACGTCATAGGGAAATATGCAACTCCAGACACTCCCTTTTTGTGCTAACCAGTCTCAGAAAACTCAGTCTACAAACAAGAAGGTGCACAAGCAAGCTTGAACACAGTTGCACTGGCTTCTTGCTCGGTGGATGTTGGTAAATGGCTGCCTGCTCATGTACGACGAATGGCTGCTACTGCAGGCACAGTCACTGTGTGCCCATTCTGGGATGGGGCAGCTGGGAGCTGAACCTGCAAATCTGAACCATGTTACGGTAATATTGCCTCCATCTGTCGTCGTTTTAAGAAGCAGAGAAAAAAATCTTCTCATACCTACTGTAGCTAGGTTGACATAACTGGAAACTATCACCTAATCGTGTAATTACAGGAGCAGCAATTTAATACCCTGTGAATCTTTGCTCGGCTGAGTTAAGACCAACTAGATCATCAAGTTGTAACTAAATATTCTGAGTTTCTAGGCCAAGCTCAGCTATCAGCTGCACCCACACAAACTCATTCACTGAAGCGCATGGAGTCAATGGGAGTTTAATTTACAGTATAATATAGCCAGATCTCTTTATCTTATCTTGTCTTACCTTATGTTAGCAGGTTTTCATCTTAGCAGTTGTCTGTAGTCTGATCTGCTTAAATTTACTGGAGTAGCTTCAGTACTGACTTTTTGTTCACAAAGTAATTAGACTGCTGTCATAAATAACCTGTTTGGGTGTGGAATAGCTGTCTGCACATTCTCTGCCAAAAACTTGCTTCATAGACTTTAGATCATTCTCTTTGTCTTGGGTAACAAGGCTTATGTTAGGAAAGGAAAACAACAGGCCTCCAATGAGCATAATGTCCTGTTAGCCCCTGGAAGCTTGCAGAACTTTGTCTCTATCCCACTCATCAGAGAGACTCAAGATCATTTTGCCTCCGTCTGTGCTATTTTCAGGATTTTTACAAATGCTTGTAATAGCATTTTTCAGTGTAAATAGGATTTCAATTTTCTGCAAGATCTGAATCCAGAATTTTAGGGAATCTATTTTTCTACATGGCCTGTAGAGTTTTAGACATCTTAAACCAGAATGCATATATAAAAAGGCCCCTTCTTATCGAACAGATCTAAGGGTAGTGTGCATTCATAGCCATACACTCTTACTGTAACATTAAAGCAGCAGCCAAGTCTCCTGCTTTTTAGCAGCGTGGAGACAATGACGTGTGTTTTGGTATATCTTGTACATCACAGGCTGCCAAGCTGTGGTGAGTTACGTACCTATGGTGGGTTACCATCATGGCCCTTCGGGCAGAGTATGGCCTTGATGGCCACACAACTGACTATGCTCTACGTGAATATAAGAATTCACTGTGCTATAAGGAATACAGAGTCAGCAGTTACAAAAAAAAAAAATCATATTTTAATTATAAGGTGTACACTTTCAATCAGGAAACGCTAGAAAAATAGTTCAGAATTTCTATTTTAGTCAGTTTTCAGGACAGAACCCTATTGTCGTGGTTTAACCCCAGCCAGCAACTAAGCACCACACAGCCGCTCACTCACTCTCCCCCATCCAGTGGGATGGGGGAGAAAATCGGGAAAAAGAAGTAAAACTCCTGGGTTGAGATAAGAGCGGTTTAATAGAACAGAAAAGAAGAAACTAATAATGATAATGATAACACTAATAAAATGCCAACAGTAGTAATAAAAGGATTGGAATGTACAAATGATGCGCAGGGCAATTGCTCACCACCTGCCGACCAACACCCAGCCAGTCCCCGAGCGGCGATTCCCTGCCCCCCCCTTCCCAGTTCCTAAACTAGATGGGACGTCACATGGTATGGAATACACTGTTGGCCAGTTTGGGTCAGCTGCCCTGGCTGTGTCCTGTGCCAACTTCTTGTGCCCTGACTGGGCATGAGAAGCTGAAAAATCCTTGACTATAGTCTAAACACTACTGAGCAGCAACTGAAAACATCAGTGTTATCAACATTCTTCACATACTGAACTCAAAACATAGCACTGTACCAGCTACTAGGAAGACAGTTAACTCTATCCCAGCTGAAACCAGGACACCTATTTAAACAACCACAGCTAATTATGAAGAATCTCCAAGGTTCCCTCCACCAATTCACAGTTTTCTGTAAGGATGCCTTTGTTCAGGTGAGGGGGCAACCCTGCCCCTTTCCCATGGCACGCTCCCGCCTATGTTCTCCTACTGTTCCTGCTAGCCTGCGACTTGTCTGCTCCCCTTTTTCAGCCTGGACGGACCTGCAGTACTGCTCTGGATTCTGCCGCACCTGCGTATGTTCCTACGCAGTGCTGTGGAGGGGACGGGCTCTCAGGGGCAATGCAGTGCGTTAGGCTCAAGCTCTGTGCTTGCGGTGAGCGTCCTTGTGCTGTCCTAAAGTGACCCGTTCTGAATCTGTGGAAGCAGAGCGATATTGCTGGGACACTTGAGGATGTGAGAGCAAGCCCTGGTATTTCACTTCTTAGGGAAACCTCTGTGACTTCTCCAATAGTCAGA